AGCTTTAGACAGGAGGAGGCAGCCCATTCCTGATTGCTGCAAGCAGCAATGCTGTCAAAACAGAGCAGTTTGTTAAACTGCTCACGTCCTTCTAGAGAGGGAAAAATAAATCCTTGACCAGCAAGGCCCTGCTGAGCACTCCCACTCCCTCCTGCTCTCTGCACAGCTCTGCCTGTGGCTGTGGGCACCAGGGCAGCCCTGCCAGACCTGGAAAGCTGCTGGCACAGCTCCACCACGGCAGCACCTGCTGCAGTTCTGGGGAAAGCTTTCTCTTGTAGGTGGAGACAGAACAGACACAATGAGAAGCCAGAACCATTAAGCACAAATAAAATTGTGCTTAAGGCCTTTCCACATCTCTCAGACCCGAGGCAGGCAGGGCAGAGCCCTTCAGTGCCAATGGCAGTGCCCAGCCCCTCTGGGGCTGTTTTCCAAGATCCTCTTGCCAAAGACTGCCAAGAACAGTTTGTTTTGCCCGATTCCCCAGTCAGAACACATGACTACGGTCTGTTCCCTATCATTGCCTCCAATCCTGCCCTGGGAATGCTGGTCTAGTGCAAGCTCACCATTCCCTCTCTCCCTGTGCCATGGCACACTCCCATCACCTGTCTGGGGGAGCCGCTGAGGCTGCTGGGCTTCAGCTTCTATTACTGATAAGTTCAGATGTCACTGATTTTCATTATATACGCTCCAGAAGATGAGCACAAGGGCTGATCTCATGCTGATGAAAATATTTCCAGCTGAAACACTGAGCTGTTGTAGCTCCAGCTCCACGCTGACAAGCAGCACATTGTCATTACCATTCAGCAAAACCAGCTGCACAAGCTGCCCCGTGTCTGTGTCCTTCCTTTTGCATCAGATTTGCCAGAGCCCCCAAATTGAAATATGAACATTGAGCTGACAAATATTGGTTGACATCAGCAAATTACATGGATAATAATGGCTTATCCCTTCTTGCAGTGATGGCATATTTAAAGGAAAGCCTGGAAGGAACATTCCTTACCTTGACTCCATGAATCAGGCCATTCATCAGGAACGTGTGCTGAGGAAAAGTCTGGTGTAACACCTGGGGGAAAAGAAACCAAAACCTAAAGGCAAATGTCAGAGCTGGCAACTGTGGCAAAATTTCCTTAAGCACCTGACAGCCAAGAGGCCTGGAAGGGAACAATCCAGGGAAAAGGGGAAATACCCTACAAACCATGCCTCTATGTGAGGAGCTCTGGCTGCCCTCTCCAGCACAGGCAATCCCTGTCCTTAACACTTTACAGGTCTATAAATTGTTCCAGCATGTTTGGGTGAGGCTAAGAGAGCCTGATATGCGCCTTAATCCATCCATACCCCACCCGAGTCCCCTCTGGTTTTACTTCACATCACCACATCACCTCTCTGTAGTTCTCTTTGTGCTGTCTGTAGGTTCGATTCACATTTTATATTGCCAGGCTAATACTGTGTCTAAATGTTTCTGCACAACCAAAGACTCCTTTTCCACAGTTCCCCATGGAAAGGCATGTGCTGAGACCTCAGGAGCCCAAGGAGAGTTCCCAAGGCAGTGCTGTCCCAAGGAGACGTGCTCACCGTCAGCATCGGTGTGGTCAGCAGCCCCCAGGCAAAGAACTCCAGGAAAATCACCACCACAGCGTGGTACACGCTGGGGTCCCCAATCCCCTGTCGCTGCAAAACAGAGCACCTTAAGTCAAAAACCTTTCAGCGGCCACGTCCTCCCCGGAAGGAGCATCTCAGAGAGCTCACACGGGGGTCTGAGAGCGAGAGACACAGTCCTGCTGAAACGCTGTTTCTGTTCACAGACCCCCCAAAACACCTCCCGCACACAGCTCAGGCTGCTCGAACCCACCCCCAGCACCATGGGGGGGATTCCTGGCCCGCACTGGAACGGGAGCGCACCGGGGACGCGGCACAAAGCCCCCCTTCCCCCCCGGCATCACCGAGGCCGGGAAACCCCCCAGGCCCACTGGGGCGGGACCCCGGCTCGGGCACCCGGAGGGGGGGCAGCAGGAGGGTCCCCTCGCCCCGGGCCCCTCCGCCCCCCGGCCCCCCGCTCACGCCGGCCCCGTCCCGGATCACGATCTTCTTGGCCAGCAGGACGCTGCGGTTGAGCCGCTTCTTCTTCTTCTTCTCGCCGGTCATGGCGCCGCCGGGCCGCAGCCGATCGCCGGCCGCCGCGGCTGCCCCATCCTCCCTGCGGCGGGCCGGGCCGAGCCGGGCTGAGCCCGGGCCCGGAGCCGGAACTGGACCGGCACCGGCACCGGGCGGGGAGCGCCGGGCCCCCGGGGCTGCGGGCGGGGGGGCGGGTCCGTGCGCAGGCCCCGCCCCCGGCCCGGAAACCAGCACTTCCGGGGCGCCAATTCTCGCGCTCCATTGGCTGCTCCGCCTCTTCCTTATCGGCCACACTGGTCTGTGATTGGATGAGAGGGGCCCTCCAGCCTTTCCCGCTGTCCTGGGTGAGGCCGTGACGTCACGGACGGTCCCGGTCCCGGTGCGGGTCCCGGTCCCAGTCCCAGTCCCAGTCCCAGTCTGGGTCCCGGTCCCCCACGGCCGCGGGGGCACCGGGAATGGGCGGGGGTACTGTTAGCGATCCGGTGCTCGAGGGCGCCTTCGGGAGGCTGGCTAGAGCGGCCGAGGCCCCGTCCCCGCGTTACCGACGCCTGGCCCGGGCCGGGCGGATCGAGCGGGGACACGCGGCTGCCCCGGGGCTGGCGGTACCGGAGGCGGCGGAAGGACCGTCGCTGCGCCCCCGCGGCCCCGCTCGGTGCCGGGCTGGTGGCTCCGTTATCCCACCGGCATCCCGGGGGTGGTGACAGCCGAGCGCCCCCCGGGACGGCCCCGTCCCGTCCCCTGGGCCCGGTGCCGCGGGAGCTGAGCAGGGGCAGCCGGTTCCGGGGGAGCAGCTCCCGCCCCGGTACCGCCCGGGCTCGGGGAGCGCGTGATCCCGTTAATCCGGAGAGCGCGTGGTGCTCGTTCCCTCGTGCGGGTCGGACAAGGTTGACTGGGCAGAGTTTAGACCAGTTTTATCCGCGCCAGGGCCCCTCTGCTCGCCCCCATCCCCGCTCAGGTGGTCGCCCCGGGCAGCGGACGCACCCGGCTGTGGTCGGGGGGCCACCGGGGGAGCCTGGAGATGTCTCACCATGGGGCAGCGAGAGGCTGCGGGGCTGTCACACACCCGTGGAGGGCCGGAGGCTGCGATCCAGCCTTTGTCCATCCAGCCTTTGTCCATCGTGGGTTTACTTTAAGTAGGGATTAAAAGCAGCCGGGGCAAAGCCCTTGAGGTGGAGGGAACTCTAGAGCCTGAGCCTGGCTGCAAGTGAGATGAGAGTAATCCCCCGACTTCCCTCCCGGGAGCGGCTCCATCTCCTCAGGGCTGCTGTGCTGTGCCCAGCTGTGCTGTCCCCACGCCACGGGGTGCCCGCAGTCCCCAGAGTGCTCTGCACTTGGCATCGGGTAAAACGCCCGTAACCTCCACAGGGACACGGTGCCTTCCCTCGGCTTGACCCCCAGCCCCCGGGAATGTGCACCCAGAGCACCAGGGCTGGGGAGGGACCTGAGTCCCCTCCTGGGCCCTGCTGGAGCCGCTGCGAGAGCACAGAGGAGCCTGACTTGTTCCAGTGCTCTGCAGCATCTTAAAACCAAGGAGGGAACGGAGAGCAGGGAAGTGGTTCCCAAAATGGCAACAGCAGATGCAATTCTATTACCTTGATTTATTGATCCCACTTCGAGCAATTACTGGCTCTTACCCCATCACCTTCCAGGGAGCAGGAGACAGTGAGGAGCAGAGACAAAGGCGACTGCATCGCCAGGGCACGGCCTGCCCCCGGGGAGGCTCCGGTTTTGTTTGTGCCGGTCTGTGCGGGGCTGGGAGGGGGGCGCCGGGGGGAGCGGCCGCAGCGGCATCTACTCCGGGCCCCCTCTCACTTCTAGACCCAACCAACCTCGGGGCCCCTTAACTGCTTGAAAAATGCCACAGCCCCAGGGCAAGAAGAAGGGCGAGTGGCTCCACTGAGGTCAGAAAGTCCCTTTAAGGGTTTTGGGGTTTTTTCCCTGCTTGCTGCAGTTACAGACAGAAAGGCAAGCAAATGATTGTGCTTTTTACTACCTGAGCCCTCCAGACAGATATAAACAAATGGGAGCCAGTTCCAGCTTTGGAGGCAGATGAAATCAGAGCGAATGAGACCAGTGGGCTGGGAGGCACAGAAATAGGGCAGCCTGGTTGTGCAGTGAAGCCCGGCCAAACCCCTCCTCCCCCCGGCCAGCCCTGGGCTCTTGCAGCGCTTTTCGGGAATGCAGAGGTGGAAAGAGCAGAAAACGCCCCCGCTGTGGATGAAGGCAGCGCCGGGCGCTGCTTGCCCGTTTCCCTCCAGCTAATGCAAAGCGCAAGTGGGCAACAGCCTGTGCTCGGCCGCGGGCCACGGACAGCGGGTTTGGAGCAGGATGGAGGGCAGAGCGTGGGTGGCTCCGGCCCCACGGGTCGTGTTTGCGGGGCCAGCTCAGGCGTGGGGTGGAGCTGTGGGCCTGGGGGATGCTCGGGTGGGCGGGGATGCTGGGAGGGACGGGGATGCTCTGGCGGCCGCGGGTCCAGCGCGGCGGGGGGAGCCGGGGGCGGGGGATGCGGGGCCGGGCGGGCGGCGGAGCGCTCACACCATGACATCAGCGCGGCGCGGCCCCGGGGGAGCGGGCGGGGGGCGGGAGCCGGCGCGGCGGCGGAGCGGAGCGGCGGAGCGGAGCGGAGCGCGGCCCCGGGCATGCTCCCAGAGCCCAAGTATGACCGCTTCCGCGACGAGCCTCTGACCGTCCCCATGCCGTCGCCGGCCCCCGGGCCCTGCCCCGCGGCGGGCGAGGAGCCCGAGCACGGCACCACCTTCTGCGCGCTGCTGCCGCGGATGCCGCAGTGGAAGTTCCCCGGCTCCGGCGGCTTCCTCGGCCGCGGCCCTACCGGCGCCGCCCGGGACCCCCCCGCCCCGGCGGGGCCCCCCTCGGGGCTGGCCGCCGTCCTGGGCGCCTGCGATCCGCTCTGCGCCGCGCCCTGCGCGCTGCCGGCCGGCGGGCGGGCCCGGGGGGCGGCGGGGAGGGCGCGGGGGGCGGTGGCGGCGGCGGGGGCCCGGCCCGACGGGGACGAATGGAGTCGCAAGGGCAGCTTCATCCGCAAACCGGCGCAGGGCTGGCTGCACCCCGACGAGCGGGTGCTGGGGCCCGGCGTCTCCTACATCGTCCGGGTAAGTCCCGCCGGAGCCCGGCGGCGCGGGAAGTCGCGGAGACCCCGGCCCCGCGCGTGTGCGGGACTCGGCGGGTCCGGCCGCTCCTCCTGACGGCTGCGGGCAGAGCCCCCGATCGAGCCCTACCCGTGGCTGCCCCGAGGCAGCCGCCCCTGACACACGCAGGTCCCGGGATGGGGCTGGGGGCCGGGGGCCGGGGGCTTTCCGGGTCGGGCAACCTGCCTCGGGACCCTGCCACAGTGAACCCCTACAAGGCATCACAAGCTGTAGCACACAGATGAGTTTGTGGGGTCTCAGCATGGGGTCTGGGCATGTGATGGGGCTTTTTGGGGCAGGGGATGAAAGGCCGCTCTGTGAGCCCTGGAGCTGGTGTGGAAGGAGCCCTTCTCACTGACACCCAGTCTCTCTCCCCTCCACTGCCTGCCCTGGGCTGCTCTGACCATGCACCCCCCGCAGTACATGGGGTGCATTGAAGTGCTGCGCTCCATGAGGTCCCTCGACTTCAACACCCGGACACAGGTCACCAGGTACGGCCCCACAGCCCCACTCTCCCATCCCCCAGTGCCACCCAAAGCCCCTGGTGGGCCTGGGTGCTCCCCCTCCCCAGGGCCCTGTGGAGAGACAGATGTGGGTCTGGGGGAGCCCTGCCCCACAGGACCCACCCTGCATGCAGGGACACAGATGAAGGGCACTGCCATAGATCAATGGGTGGAAAGAGGAGAAGGGAGGTGGCCCCTGCCAGGATTACGTACTGCAGGCCATGACGTGGGGCAGCACTGCCAGGAGGCTGCAGCACCTGAGGCTGTGGGGGTCAAGCCTCCAGAGCCCACAGAGCCATGCGTGTGGGGGGAGGCAGCTGGGAAAAGCCAGGGGTCTGGAGCAGTGACCAGACCGGGGGCTGTCCACTGCAGGGAAGCCATCAACAGACTGTATGAGGCAGTGCCAGGTGTGAAGGGCATCTGGAAGAAGAAGGTAAGTTTCCACTCAGCTTGTCCCTCCCTGGGGCAAGCTGAGGCTGTGGGACAGGGCACTGAGGGTGCCTGCCCAGTGTGTGGGTCTGGGGTCTCTTGGGGCACCCCTCTTTTTCTCATTCACCCCAGGAAGCCTGGTCCTGATGGGCTGCGTCACCCCCACCGTCTTGTCCCCTATCAGGCTCCTAACAAAGCCCTGTTCTCCATCCTGGGCAAGAGCAACCTGCGCTTTGCTGGCATGAGCATCGCTGTCAACATCTCCGTTGATGGGCTGAACCTCATGATCCCCACCACACGCCAGGTGACAGTGTTCCTGGGCACATGGTCCTGCTGCCTCCCAGCCTGTGAGCTGGGGGCTGGTGGCCCCTGTGCTAATGCCCCCCCGGGCCATGTCGCCCACACAGATCATCGCTAACCACCACATGCAGTCCATCTCCTTCGCCTCCGGTGGGGACCTGGTGAGGCACACATACCTCAGCACTCCCCTGGCTGCAGCCCCCCAGGGCGCTGGGGACAGAGGCTGCCTGTCCCATGGCTGAGCCAAGTGCAGGGCAGCCTGGCCCTGGGTCAGGATGTGGGGCTGGGGCCGAAATGTCCCCTCTCCCCAGCGCCCCCAGCCCCACTCCCCATGCAGCAGCAGGACATGGGCCCTGAGCTCCCTCTGTGCCCCCAGGACACCACGGACTATGTCGCCTACGTTGCCAAGGACCCCATCAACCAGAGAGGTGACTCTGGCCCCCACACCCGGGAGCTTTGTGGAGGAGGAGGGATGCATTGGGGGGTGAAGGCTGGAGAAGGAGATCCCTTGTGGGGAGCATGAAGAGGGGCTCAGGGGGGCCCAGAGGGGCAATAGGAGTGTGAGGGAACCACTCAAGCCTGTCTGTCTGCAGCCTGCCACATCCTGGAGTGCTGTGAGGGGCTGGCACAGAGCGTCATCAGCACAGTGGGACAGGCCTTTGAGCTGCGCTTCAAGCAGTATCTGCACAGCCCCCCCAAGGTGG